GTAGCAGTACTAGTCGAATTCGTAATAATAATAGAAGAAGTCGTAGTAGTAGTAGTTATAGTCGAATTAGTAATTGTCGTAATAGCGGTAGAAGTAGTAGTAGTAGTAGTAGCAGTAGTAGTAGCAGTGGTGGTAGTAGTAGCGTTAGTAGTAGTAGTAGTAGTAGTAGCAGTAGTAGCAGTGGTGGTGGTAGTAGTAGTAGTAGTAGTAGTAGTAGTAGTAGTAGTAGTAGTAGTAGTAGTAGTAGTAGTAGTAGTAGTAGTAGCAGTAGTAGTAGTAGTAGGAGTAGTAGTAGGAGTAGTAGTAGTAGTAGTAGTAGTAGTAGTAGCGGTAGTGGTAGTTGTAGTAGGAGTGATAGGAGTAGTAGTAGTCGTAGCAGTAGTACTGGTATTCGTAGCACTAGTAGTAATAGTAGGTCAAGGTTTTGCACTGAAGCGCGAAAAAAGAGAAATAGGGAGGTTAGGAAAGGAAGAATTGACGGTTTACAATGATATGTTTGGCAGATGTTGATTGGAACATCTTTGTTGTTAGGGTGTGCTGCGACATCCTTGCGTGGCTGCTTACAAGCTCCCCCCAGAGGCCCACGAAGCCCCAGAAACATCATGAGTCCTCGACCGTCGATCCCTTCCCAGAACCTCAGGAAGGCCGCCTGAGGTCACCAGAAATACCCAAAGGCCCCTGGAGTCTCCCGAAAGAGGGGGCCAAACATGTCACAAGCCTCTCCTCCCCATCTAGCTCGGCCCACTTGGTTCAGCCAAAGGAGCCAAGGGCTCCTCTTCATCCTCCCTCTTCTGCGTCGCTGTGCAGCACAGACTTCTGGCAGCCCGCGGCGCGGGGCCTTCATCAGGATGCAGACAGCTCAGCATTATCATCATCCATCTCTTCCCTCCTCCTCAACCTCCTTCTCGTCCTCTCCCTTCCTCCCAGACATCCGACACCCTGATGTTTTCGCCACGTGGCTTCTCAAAGGTCTGGACCCCCTCTCGGGCACCGGCTTTGCATCCTGAGGCATTCTGTTGACGGCCCCACAGTTTGGCAGGGCCCCCAGAAGCCGAAATGTTTCATTTTTGGACGCCGATGTTTTTTTCGCGACGCGAGGAGGTCAGGGTTCTCCTATTCCTTCTCCTCACCCTCGTCTCCTGAGGTCCGACGACGCGGCGAAATGGCAGCATCGTCAAGAAAAGTCACGACCGATGCCCCAGATCCCATCTTCCTGTGGCACTTCTCGAGCCTGGTGTGAACAAGCTTGATACTTCGCGTATCCCCACCAGCCCATCCAGACACGATGCCCAGCGGAGCTGCCGTGAACGGGGGAGCGTGCCATCATTTGGAGATCTCGGGAGGGGCCTGTGTTGGCCAGAGGCTCTGTGGTTGCCTCCTTGGTCGGATCTCTTGAGATCTCTCGGAAGCTACCTCGATGGGGGACCTCTTCGGGGCCTCTGGAGGCCTCTTAGAGACCTTTTGGGGCTTTCTCTTGAAAGCGTTTCTGCTGTCTTGGGGCCATGCTGGAGGCTATCCAGTGGCCTTAGGCCCACCCTGCCACCGTGCCGGTGTTCTCGGTCAGAGGCCACTTTGGATGCCTCTGAGGTTATATTGGGAGACCTCTCAGAAGCCTACTGGAGGCGGTTTGGGGGAAGTGTTGGGGTGTCTCGGAGGCCTGATTTGGGCCCCTCGGGGCCTCGTATGGGCACCTCGGGAGCCTTTGGGGGAATCTTAGGGCCATCTGGGGGCGGAAGCTCAAAATGTCAGGTCGTGTTCCCCCTCTTGGGCCCCTCTTCGGGGCGTTTTGGGGCCCTCTTGGGCCGTTGTTGGGCGCTTCTGGTCGTCTTGGACGCTCTGAAAACAAAAAGGGCGGAATTGCTATAGCCATGATACCCATGCAGTTTGGCGGTTTGGGCAAGACGGCCCAGGAGGCGCCCAAGAGGGCTCCTGGACGGTCCTCGGGGCTACTAAGAACATGTTGGATATGCATGTCCCGAACAACGCGCTCTTGGCCTCTGGAAGCTACGCGGCGAATCCATAGCCATGTTGGCTCAAGCCGCTCCAGCTCGAGCAGCGGCCAAGGTTCCGATCGGGGCCCGCTCCTAGACGCGCTTGAATTCGTTCGAAGCCTTGCCAATGCTGACGCAGCGCTCCCAGTGCGGAGGCGTTGTAGCGATGGCGAGCGAGGAACCAGATATGGACCGTTTGATGCGTGAGATCGAGGAGCGTCTCGTGCAGGCTATAGACCTAGAAGATGCAAGGTCGGGCCAGGCAGCGCGTTCACCAGCAGATGGTGCATCGACCCTGACAGCGGCCGACCAGGAGGCCCCTTCCGAGTTCCCGCCGATGCAGGCCACGTTGCCAGTTGAAGTGACGATTCCTAGCTTCGATGGGGCAATATATGAGGCTTCACCACCAGACCCTGCTTCAGCACCAGACAGTTCTACGGCTCCTCATCCCAACGGTCTCCACGGAGCTTGGCCGTTCACATCCGAGGGGCAGCGGGAAGCGGCGGCCG